TATCTTTCAGTTCGGCGGTGGGTACCTTCGGTTCGGATCTCCTCTAGTTAACGTTGCAAATGTCTGCATCAGTTCGTGGACCACCCGACTCAATAATAATAATAATATAAATAATAATATGTCAGCTGTACGCAACATCTTAGGACTGCTCGTCTTCAGTCCGAGAATGATTTAACTGACGCAGCCGCAACAAATCCGAAGTTCTTCGCTCACGTAAAGAGCCTGAGCTGTACCAAATGGTCTATACCCGCTTTATTACGAGCGGACGGCACCCATGTGCATACCGACTATGATAAGGCGAACCGTATACTTGTGTCTGCTCGTGAGGCCTCTACCTCAGGTTGAGTTGTTCGCAAGAGTCCCGGAGGATTCTTGCCTAGCTGAAAGCAGCGTGACGGAGACACAAGTCTTCGGGCTATTGCAAGCGTTAAATCCTTCCAAAGCTTCTGGCTTTGATTCAGTTCATCTGAAGCAGATGCATGAACTGGCCACCGAACTAAGTAATCCTGTTACGTGCGTGTTCACAATATCGCTCGACAGCGGTGCCTTACTTTCGGAATGGAAGGAAGCAATCATCTGTCCGATTTTTAAGGGCGGTGAAACTGCTCTGCGTGCGAACTACCTGCCTGTTAACTTGCCAATCGTGATAAGTACGTTGTTTAAAAGCTGTGAGGAATTCGCCGAAGAACCACCAGAATAAATTTAACCTTTTCAATACTGCACAACACGGTTTTCGTAGGGGATTTTCCTATTTAGAAACTTTACTTGTAGCTCGTATAAGCTGGGCTGAGGCAGCACACAGCGGCCGCGCTATTGACGTGCTTTTCGTTTACTTTTCGAAAACCTTTGGTAATGTCCCGCATCTACGACTCTCACTAAAGTTGTGACCTTATGGAGTGACGCCCTTATATGGGTATCAGCTTTTATAGAGGGAAGAGAATAGTGTGTATGTGTGGGATGTAACCTTTCGCTTAGACAAGTTGTTCTTAGTGGCGTTCCGCAGGGCACGGCTTTAGGGCCGCTACGTTTCGCAATTTATGTCAAGGACCTTCTCCCGGTGCTTGAAGTACCGTCGATATTGTTCGCTGATGACCTAAAACTGGAATATTGTGCCATCTCAGTGAGACTGGACGTTACTTTGGTACGATGGTTTGCGTGCTTCAGCGATCCATTGAGCCGTGCTGAGTGGTGCTTTTTTGCACCTTCTGAGCCAATTATACTAGATTGTCAATGCTTAGAAGCCAGACAAACTCAGCCTCCTGGTCTTCCAGGTTGGGGATTGGAGTGAAGGTGGCTTCTTATTCCTTAAAACGGACTCCTTATACCCCACCGCCAAACCCACTGCCTTGCGGCCAGGTTTTTGAACCAAAGGGTTTGGTCGAGAACCCTAATCGTTCTCCTGTCTAAGCCTGGGCAACCTGACAGTATCCTGCTCACGCAATACCATGAATCTTCCGTCAATTTCCCGATGCTCTGGCCACCGCAGAGGATAATCAACGGTGCCCTATTTTCTGCGTCGAGCAGGGTGGACAGGGGTGAGAATGCTACTTTTCAGGTCTTCCCGTCTTACTTCTCTTACGCCTTTTTGTTCTTAGCGTCCCGTCCCAACTTCTCTTTTATCCTCCCTGTTTTCAACCCTCCAATTATCGGCCCCACATCTTTTCTCATTGGTCGTTTGTCTACTGGTTTCGATTCAAAGGCATTCGTAGTGCGTCGCTCCCGTCCAGTCAGCAGCTCCATGTTCAACCAAGCGGATAACGTTACTTCATCCGTTTCTCTTTGGATCCGTCGGTCATCGCTAAGACTGACATTTCTCAACGTGTGCTTTATATTTCACATTGGCCAACAGGCAGCATTTTTCCGGACACTCGCGACCTTATCTATCGACATGTGCTGTTTACCGACAACTCGCCCGCAAGATTCGAGCTGTGTAGTCACCCTGCGATCCCTCACAAGTGTCACTGGCGGCAATTCCTCATTGCGTTTGCCTGGAGATGACGCAGCTTCAAAAACGTGTCAAATTGGTGTGAACGTTGCTCTGAGTCCCGATACTGAAGCTATTCTGGTAGACTAGGTCACTATCAGCAGTCGGATGTGCGCCGTCAGATTGGCTGTATCGTTCAAAGTTTCAAACTCACGCACAAATGAACGATGTTTGTTTTGCATGGAGGCCTGCGCCCCAACAACTTGTAGCGCTGACTCAGTGAAAGGCGACTTCTATCACTAGCTGAACGAGCCCCTTCGTTACGAGAAAGTACGGATACTGCAGTGCGTTCTGGTGATCTGCACGCCTAAGTTAGAAAACTATAAACGAATGAGCTGTATTGGGGCGGCCAACATGGTGTAGGCTCCCGTAACGATAACGATGAAGCTTTGGTACATCTATGTGAAGATGTTCGCTTATTTTTTGTGAGCACTAACTTCCGTCATTGCACCCGACATGAAGTGATGGCGCCCACCATCCTCGAACCAGCCATGGATGTAAGTTGGTCACATCATGACCAGTTACTGCTAGAGGTTGCGTCAAACACTGTCACACGAGTGTAGACTCTAACCACACACTCGTTTGTGCTAATTTTAGAGTTCCCTTTTGATGGACGCATTCGGCACTGCTATGTGCGCTTAGATGCCTGCCAACTGACAAATCCAGATAATCTGAATGCGTCTCAAAGTGTGCCGACATCCAAGCTGCGTAAGCGCTCACTGAACACACCGGGGGGGGCACTGATCTCATGTAGGCATATCTTTATATGGTAAATCGAATTGCCAACCTGGACATGGGTTTTATACACAGTTTTGGCAACATTTTGGTGTTCGTCACCACATTCCGGCTGGGAGCGAACCCAAAGGGGTTCGCAGAGACTTCAGAGCGATACCACGTGCTGGCCTGAAAAGAGACCACGAAGTCTGGTGGTCCTATCGTGCATCGGAGATGGAAATAGCCGCTGTCCTTCGTAATCGTCGGAAGCTATTCCGTCTGATACAGGAAACAGGCAACATTTTACCTGATGTTAGTGAAACTATATATGCTGAGAAAAGGACAACCAATGCACGAGTTGTCAAATGCTTGAACCATGTGCCGAGCACTTTGAAAAACCGTGTAATTAACAAGAGTTTGCCAGCCATTACTCGCCCATCCCTTGGCCCGTCCCCTCGGATTTTCCTTTATGTGCCGAAGTTGAACGTGTGCAATCGGACTGCTGAAAGTGCATAGGGCCACAGGAGCAGATAAATTTCCTCCAGTTCTCGGGAATCCGCTCTCGGGGATGACTTGCACAACATACTAACGATGTTATGGGAGAAGGAAACTTTCTCAACAAACTGTAGCTGCTCCGTTATACTCTCAATTTTTAAAGGGGGCTTACGTTTAGAATGCGGTGGTAATCGTAGTGAGATCAGTCAGATCTCAATTGCGTCTAAGTTACTTGCCTCTGTCGTTCTTCATAAACTAGCTGGCGCCAGTGAGTAACAAGCCTGCTTTCATTTAAATTGCCTTGGTATTGGTCGTATCTTCACATTTCGTCAATTGTTGGAACGCCGCCGTATTTATTGGTGACCCACCGTAGTCGTGTTTCTCGACACTAAAAATGCTTTGAATTTTGTGGATCGATGTGCCCTTTGGGACCGTTTGGTCAGGAAAGATGTGCACTAGAAATACGCAAACATTACCAGATCGCTGTACATGCGCAGTTCGAACAGAGTGAAGGCTTACGGCACACTGTCGCTATCATTCAATATCTCCAGCGATGTGGGACAAGCATGCCCGCTGTCACCAATTTTGAAATTTTGCCATTGCCAAACTCATGGAAACTGCGTTCACTGGACGCGGCCTACAATATGTGGAGGTGATAACAGGTGGTGGTCTTCTTAACGTAGGTACGCTGATGACATTGCCTTTATCTATGACAACTCGCAAACGTGCCACGCTGCACTGGACAAATTAGCATTGGCTGTCAGTCACTTCGAGTTATGCTTTGCACCTTCGAAATGCAGCGTCCTTTTCCAACATTGACAGGGACCCACTCTTGCGCTGACCTTTAGTGGTGATCAGCTAGAAGTTGTTCAGGAATTTTTGGACCTGGGCAGATATATGATCACCCGTGTGATCGAAGATGGGGTCACTAACCTTATAACAAGCCGTTTTTGCCAATCTTCGCCAACTGTGGTGTCGGCGCGGCATCACTCTCGACCCAAAGGGCAGAGTTTACAATGCAGCCGTCCATTCAACCCTCCTGTATAATTGCGAAACCTGGATCACCAGGTAGACAGACTACGTTCTATCGTCGCTGCAATTGCAGCTTAGCTCATGTCTTGTGGGACGGCGTCGTGAATTTGAGGCAGGAAATGCAAACCAACTGCTTAGTAACGTACTTTCACCCATCATGCTCCCATGGCTAGGTGACGTGTTGCGCATACTAGCTCATTGACTCGCGCTTAGTTTGTTGTTTGTGTGCCGGGAGTGCGAATGAAAGAAGCGGAGAGGAGGCTATATGGTGACTTGATCAATAGAAATAAGAACCATCACTTCAAAGTTGTTTTTGTTATCTCCCCAACTGTCCAGCTGGGGTCCGAAGGACAGTGAACACGATTGCTTGGATACACTTGCTGACGTAGCGAAGAGCTGATCTCAGTGACGTTTTTTGTTGTGAGTTTCTTTGTCCGTCCCCATCCCGCTTATCTTCTCAGTCCAACCACGATCTCCGTCTTGGGGCATACTGTGTTACTAAGACGGAAATTGCCTGTTTTTGTATTCTGTAATATTTTGTAACTCGTTTTTCATGTCTTCTTTTGTATTGTGGTATAATAGTTGAGGTGTTTCTCACTTTCTTCTAATGTGTAATAATGATAGACTTGTTTTCGCTACTGTACATTGGACAAGGGATTCCTCGTAATCTTCAACCTGATGGGTACACAGTTTATAAAGTATCTTTATAGCAATTCAGAGAGCTTATATGGCTGGAATTGTTTTCTCTTCTGTGTACTTTTTTATTTCTTTTACAGTACTTTTATATCAGCCACCCCGTACTTTTTCTTGCCGCCAATTCACCTCGGACTGGGTCGTGCACAGACAGGGGATACCAGCGTCCAGCTCATCACGGAGTGTTAGCTAAGCCTCTTCAATCTCACTTCGTCTCCAACCGCCTAAGGGCTTTTTGCTTCGCATTTCAGTCCCGCTCTACTATTACGACTTGCATACCCATTGGCCACGGGATCTCTCGAAATCCTCAACTGAACAATCTACGATCGCCATGGGCTGTGTTCAGAGCAGGGAGGCCAAAGCAGCCATCGCAAGATCTAAAATCATAGATAAAAATTTGAGAGCTGAGGGAGAGACCGTTTCAAAACAGGCTAAATTACTTCTTTTGGGCGCGGGTGAATCAGGGAAAAGTACCATTGTCAAACAAATGAAGTAAGTCAGCTTTTTTCTTTTAGCGCATCTTCAGAATCATCCATCAAGATGGTTACTCGAAGGAAGAATGTTTGGAATACCGACAGGTTGTTTATAATAATACAATCCAAAGCATGGTCGCGATTATACGCGCGATGGAGCATTTAGGTATCACGCTTGCTAACGAGGAGTTGACTGTAAGCGATGTTGATCTAATATCTATTCTTTTTTAGCCCGATGCATCGCTGGTGCTGAGCTTTTCCAATGTTGATGTGACTGAACTGGGTCGCGATTTGTCTCTTTCTCTGAGAAGATTATGGTGCGACCCTGGGGTACAAACAGCTATTTCGAGATCTAGAGAGTTCCAGTTGAATGACTCCGCTACTTAGTGAGTTCGCTTTTTGTTGGTATCTATTTCTCAGTTACCTAAACTCCTTAGACCGGCTTTCGGATCCAAATTATGTACCCTCTGAACAGGATGTACTGCGTACTCGAGTAAAGACCACCGGCATAGTTGAGACCAATTTTTCATTCAAAGGGTTGAATATAAGGTAACCAATTAATTTCACTGTTCGACGGTAAACAGAATGTTTGATGTTGGTGGCCAACGGACGGAAAGAAAGAAGTGGATCCATTGCTTTGAGGGCGTCACTGCTATCTTATTTATTGTCGCCATGAGTGAGTACGATCTGTCCCTGGCAGAAGACCAAGAGATGGTAAGTCTTCCTTACTCTGTGGACCTAGTATGCACACCGTGCGCTTTTAATGTTTGCTGAAATCAATGCTTCACAACTGTCCTCACGGAACGACTGCTCTGCAGATCTACTAGTACCATCCACCGGATTGGCACATAAGTTAAACAAATGTGCCCTTACTGTGAGACATAACATTGCCACCCATTTTGTGTGGGATCATTGTAGTTTCCGACGTGTAAACTCAGTCGCCTCTAACTTTTTGGGTCACTGCCTTATCTACCTTTTACCTGGATCGCATCCGACGAAGAGCTGCACCACACATATGTATCTCCCTCGTCAACCTTCGACAACTAACTCGCTCCTCATTCACGGGCCTTTTACCGGATGTGACTTGGGCACCGAAGAGCGTGCATCATTTATCTTTTATTTTCTCCTGGGATGGCAACGAGCAGTACAAAACATTAGAACGAAAAATTTGACATTGCCGCGATCCAAGCTCTTTACATCGATATGAGCAGATAGGACACTGATAACCACACAATGCAAGTATGTGTTGATAGTAAACATATCAAATAACTAAACGAGTAAAACGCCTCACGTTTGAGGAAAACTAGTTCACATTTTGTACAAGCTTCCTATACGGATTGTTAGCTCATATTCTATTCCACCGCCAATGACTGTCTCTTATACACTGATTTCCATGGCTTTTTTGGCTCTATGTCTAGTTACTAGACTGTTGAGATTACATACATTCCACCGCCAATGATAATCGACCTATAGCTGATCCGCACCAAGCGTTTGTAAAGGGTTGGTCTCCGCTATTTTTGCAGTCGGACTTTATATCTTTACTTGGAAAGCACGGTTAGTGCTTATCTGTCCCTCGTCGCCTGGTAGGTTTGTAGAATGTCAGTGGTTCAGGAAATATTGTCGGCGTACTCCAATTCAAGAACTCGATCACACTGAAGCAACCGCACACATAAATGAAGTCCAGTAAACGCAATTTCCCTAATTTCACTAATAGCGAAGTTAAGCACGGTCGTCCCTGTGTCATCGCTGGCAATATTGAAGGGCGTCCGCAGTTTGCCATAAGCTCACACTATATCCGAAGCAATTACATGTAGAGCTGTTATAGTATTTAAACACTTTACGGGCACAACCTTTTTGACCAAACATTCCCATAGGACACATGCATCCACCGAATCGAAAACACCTTTAATGTCGAGAAAAACGACTAATGTGAGTCACTCTGCTCTAATGACTGGCGATAAGAGGAGATCTGATCAACGCAACTTCGATTTCAACGACATCCTGCTTGTTCTTCGCCATTCTGTCTTTTTCGGACGCCAGTCAGGCTCTGCAGATCGACAAAAACTAACAGCTTAGAGGCCTTGAAGGCCACACTGATCCTTCTTTGATGGCCGCATTTTGAACTTGATCTCACCTTGGGAATCGGGATCATAGCGGAACAGTTTCATTAATTATCCTAAATCCCCTACAAGAGCTAGTCCACTGAATTCGATGAGGGTTGGATAAATTTCATCTGGTCCCACTGTTTTTTTCTCATTTCAATAGTTTGCTTCCACGTTCGAATTCTGCGCGAGAGGGTTGACCCAAAGGGACAGTCCGCATAACAGGGCGCTTGTTGACCAACAAACAAGCTGTTATTATGGCTGATTGAATTTCTTTTCAATGTACAACCAAACGCTGCAAGCGTTTTGATAAGTTGTGGATAGACTGTTTCCCTTTATCGCGTACAGTACCGTTGACATCAGATCTGCTGATTCCTGTCTTCCGTAGCAGACGGAATAACTTCTGCTGGTTGTCAAGGCAGCGACCGTTTCTATCGCCAACGCATGATGAGACTACCGGCCCCCGGGCTAAGTCACAGTTTTATTTTGACATCGCTGCAAGTCTCGGGGAGTTCGCTTGCAGCCTGAATGTATCAACGAGCATCGCAAAATTCAAGGAACTGAATAGAGACCCAATGTCCATGTTGGCAATCAGATTTATCACTTGAAGACGAGTGCTGTGTCTGAAGTTAGTGCTCTCTACAGATGTGCAACCGCTCACCGTTATCATTATAGAAGCTCACATCATATCGGCCGCTCAAATGCAGGTCGTCATTTCAAAATGGGACCGTTCATTTCACTAGCCAGCTCGTTCAGTTGACGATAGGAGCCATCTTTAGCCGAATCAGTGCTACAGTTTGTGGGAGGGGGTTAGGCAGCAGTGGCAAACAGGTATCAATTGCCCCCGCGCTCCTTGGAAGTTTTGAACGAGTCGGCCTGTCGGTTGGCTTACTTACCACTACTGAGTGGGATCCAGCCGACTGGTAGATGGATGGAAGCGGCAAGAAGGGATGTCTTTGTGTAGCTGTATCTAAAATCCCTCAGGTACAAAACACTCGTGTTGTTTCATACCGGCAACGTGTTTGTCACGGAATTTCTTGAATTCTGTTACCGAATTTGCTTCAACTACGTGGGGCGGCAGGTACTTTCATAGTGTTCTGGTCCCCGAGGTCGCTCCGGTCGCTCTGATTACTTGATGAGGCTTTCAAGTACCAGTCTATTCACCAAAAACCGCAGAGCAATTACACGGCGTATACCAGTGGTACCTATATGGTGCGGTTGATCTTCCCGAGGGTTTTTTTGTTCTCCTTCATTATTTACCTACCGGTGACAGTAACAGATTGGTCTGGAACACTTATGATCCACCAGTGAGTGGGTAATCGATAGACAGACCGACGCACATGGTCAGTGCTGGTCTGAACTCTGATTGGAGATGTTAACTCATACGCCACATGAAAGCGCTTGTTTGGTAGCTAATCTCCAAATCATAGCTCAGCAGATTGAGCGCTCAGCGTTGGAGACGGATAGTCGTGTAGACAGGGATGCCCTTCTTCGAGCCGAAGATGACCAGCAATGGTTTGTGATCAGTCAGTAGCTTGGATCGGCGACAATGTATCACCTTATGGTACTCCTTCACACAAAAGGTTATGGCTAATGCTTTTTTCAATCTAGCTGTAGTTTTGCTCGAATTTTGTCAAAGCCCTGGCCGCGTGAGCGGTTGCTTTCTGAGACCCATCCGGGTACAAATGCGAAACAACTGCTCCGATCCTGTGGCTCTATGCGTCTGGCGAGAATGATGAGTTGGGTCATAATGAGTCGACAACAAGTCTGAAACCTGTAATGACTTGATTCGTTCAAAGGTCGCTCGCATTCTCGCGTCCAATTCCAGGCGTGGTCTTTGATCAAAAGCCTGTCTAGCGGGGCACGCAGGCGATGCAACTCAGGCAAAAATGCGCTTTAGTGACTGATGAGGCCACGAGAGGAACGTAGCGATTGCATATCTGTTGGTGGAGACATCTTAAAGGCTTTGATGTCTGCCGGATCTGCTCATGGATAAAACCAAGTTATTTGATGGTAAGAGTGAAGAGAGTACATTTATCTTCACGAATCTGGAGACCATAAGACTAGTTACGACCAAGCACCTCCTCTAAGCGGTCAAATAATTCCTCCGTTGTTCGGCCCATTACCATAATATCATCCATGTATGCGGCGGCTCCAGGAACTCCTGCCAACTTGGTATCCATCAGCTGTTGAAACATTACTGGGGCCGTTTTTACGCCCAAACGCAGGCGGTTGTACAGGTACAGTCCACGGTAGGTGTTGATCGTCAATAGCTCTTTCGATTTTTCGGCAACATCTACCTGAAGGTATGTACCAGACAGGTCAAGCTTGGCAAAGCACCTGGCTCCATTCAATTTTGCGAAGATATCTTCCGGTAACGCCAATAGGGATTGGTGATCGTCGAGCGCAGCGTTAAGACTAGTTGAGAAATCTGCACATTCGCTTTCTTTACTGCAACAATGAGTGCGGACCATGAGACGTAGTTTACAGCTTTGATGATGCCAGTTCTTTCTAGTCGCTCCAGCTCTTGCTCAACGATTGGTATCGCTGCATACGGGACCGGACATTTAGCTTTAAAGACTAGCTTGACTTCCGGTCGCATGCACAGCATCGCTGTAATTTTGGTGCAATGGCCTAGGCCATCTTGAAACACGACCAAATTTTTGTTTCAGCAGACCTGTCATCTCTTCGACCGACTTCGTTGATGCGTCTGGATTCGCTGGAATTCTATTGCAAATCGGATTCAATGAAACATCAAGCAGTCGCAACTTTTCAATCCAGTCTATCCCAAGAAGGTTCAAGTTGGGACTATCCGACATCTAAACCGTCCCTGTTTTTTACACACTGTTGAATTCCATTGTGCAAGTAATTTCCGCGATTAAGTTGAGCACACCTCCATATGCGTTGTGGGCTATTCTGTGAGACTTGATCATTGTTGGCTTCTTTAGATGATTCCAAGTGTTCTTGGAAATGATTGTGATATCTGAGATCGTGTCAAATTGCTGCTTCATTGGGATACCGTTGATTGACACGATGATGAATCGTCATCGTGGCTTTGGATCACATTGCAATGCGACAATTACTGAAAGCGATTCTGCACCATACTTTCGAGAGTTCTTTGAAGGGTGGAACTTATCCATGATCTTCGACTGGGCCTGGCTGCATAATTCTTCTTTATGGCCACGCTTAAGGCGCTTTTCGCAGATGTGACGTTTGAAAGGACAGAAACGCTCAAAATGCCATTCGCCACACGATCAGCAGGCTGTAGGTGGCTTGTTTGGGGCCCTTTTGAACGGTCTGCTTCGGCTAACATTCCCAGCATTTTTCACAGTGTAAACGGCATCGGATGGTGCAGTGCGACACTGTTCGATCAGGGCGCCGTCGTGCTTCAAAGTGAGCAATCGCTTGCATTCGCCAACAGGAGCCTTTAGTGTCAGATCTGGGTCTTGATCAAACTTAGCAAAGAGCCTCGTGCGAATCTCAGCATCACAAGGGGACTGCAGAGCAATGACGAAAATGCGACACTTAAATTGGTCGTCCGCCAAAGACAGTAACTTGAAACGTCCACACTCGCGGTTAACCATGTCAGCTAGCTCCCCATAATCGTCTTGT